ACCAAACATCCTATAATAGCAGTTACTTAAAGAGGGTATATATAACCTTTATAAAACACGATCCTACCTGAGGATATTTTTTAGAATTAAAAAATTGATAAAGGCCAGGAGCAGTGGCTTATGCCTCTAATGCCAGCGTTTTTGGAGGCCGAGGTGGATGGATCGCCTGAGCCCATGAGTTCAAGATCAGCTTGGGCAACATGGTGAAACTCTGTCTCTACAAAAAATACCAAAAAATTAGCCAGGCGTGGTGGTGTGTGCCTGTGGTCCAGCTACTTGGGAGGCTGAGATGGGAAGATCTGTTGAGCCTGGGAGATTCAGATTGCAGTGAGCCATGATCGTGCCACTGTACTACAGCCTAGGTGACAGAGTGAGACCCTGTCTGGAAGCAAGGAAGGAAGGGAGGGAGGAAGGAAGGGAGAGAGGGAGGCAGGAAGGGAGAGAGGGAGGCAGGAATGGAGAGAGGAAAAGAGAAAAAGAAAGAGAGAGGGAGGAAGCTACCTGATAAGCGTAGCTTTTTCTTCATAATAGTGATGATGTGGAACTTGTTGAGGTCACAGATTTCTGGGATCCACATTAGAGATTTTGATTCAGTAGATTTCAGACCACATTTGGAAAGATACTGCTTTGGAGAATCTATCCCAGTTTTGTAAATATACAGATGCACAAAAATAAAATCAGCCATGGAACCTGTAGACGTGAGATGTGACTTTCATGATTTTACTAGGAAAAATATAGAACACTTGAGCTATCTACTTTTCAATTTTTTAAAAAAGGGGATGATTTAAAAGGGAGAAACAATAGAAAAGAGAGGGAATGAGGAGGAGAGTGGAGAAGCAAATGTAGTAGACTGGTTAGGAGAAAAGAAGAAATGATTAAGGAAAAGCAAAGCCTGGTAGAGAATGGAAAAGAAGATATAAGAGTAGAGTCCAAAATGAATTCTATTAGGATATATAAACTGTTTTAGGTTATTGTGAGCTTTAGAGGAATTTATAACTTAAATTTTGCCTTAAAATTCTTATGAGTTGATTAATCAGGATTTAGGATCCTTGACCTCTACTCTGATTGGCATAGGTTCTACAGAATCTTAGGGAAGAAATTAAATCTGAAACATTATCAGTTGTTAATGTTTATAATATAATAAATATAATATTTATAATATAATATAATATAATAAATATAATATAATAAAAATACTATTATTTTGTATACCTCTAAGAAATAAAAAGTACTGCCAGTTAACTATGGACAATTCGTTTTACCATTTATTGTAAGATGCCTTTCAATTTTAGAGAAGATACCGTGTTCTAAAATTGATGAAATGTATTTAGAAGGCTGCTAGCCTACCTCAGTCTTTCCCCAGTCTATTCTTCCTATTTATTATGTTCTGTTTTCCCAGTATTATTTTTCAGACAGCACAAGTCTCTCCTCCTTTATGAAGCCTACCTGGATCCTTACTGTAAGATATGTTTCAAATTTCCTTTGAGCATGTTTCTTCTGCCCCTTTCATTTTGAAAATGTCCCCTTAATAGAGAATCAAAATCAAAATAGGAGTTACATAGTTTTGCTTTCTCTGCATCATCTGCTAACACTGTACCATCTGCCCCAAGCAGTAGGCCTGAACTTTGTTTCTTGTTCTTACTCTACGTGTATTTTTTTAAGTCCTTTTTCTTGTTCTTAACATTTTTCATCAGCCTCCGCTCATTCTGGGTTCTTACTTTACTTAACAAGATTCTTCTTGTTTCACAAGTCTCTTAAAATTCTGAACCTATCATAGCACACCTTACACAACAACCATATTGTATTCTTTAGATGCCACTTTCTTTTCTTTCTTATCAGATTAACCTTAATTTTTCTTATTTTTTATTTTTTGAGAAGCAGTCTTGCTCTTATCACCCAGGGTGGAGTGCAGTAGAACGATCTTGGCTCACTGCAGCCTCCAACTCCTGGGTTCAAGTGATTCTCCTGCCTCAGCCTCCTAAGTAGCTGGGATTACAGGTGCCTGCCACCACATCTGGCTAATTTTTGTATTTTTAATAGAGATGGGGTTTCACCATGTGGCCAGGCTGGTCTCCAACTCCGGACCTCAAGTGATCTGCTCGCCTTGGCCACCCAAGGAGCTGGGAATACAGGTGTAAGCTTAATTTGTTTTTATAATGTCAGACTAACTTGCTTTCATAGTGTCAGAATTTTACTTTTTAGAAATGTTATCTCTTTTTCAAAAATTTTTATTACAGTATGATTTCTGCTGTGGCATCATACAGCTTTTTTCTTTAAACGTTATAAAATTCACTTTCCTAACGAATTGCTAATCCTAGTGTTCCTTCTAACACTTGGGAACTTCAGGATGGTATCATGGTTTCTCGCTCATGCATCTCACTTCCACTTCACTATTTTATGCGTGTGTGTCAGAATTAATTCCAAAGGAGTAGTTCTTTTCATTATTTTCTCCACCTAATGAAAGATAGAATGTTTCATATGCTAGTGACATACTTTTCTAGAGAAGAATTTTCGTTGGTTTCTTGATAGTTGGAGATCCATGTGTCGGACCACTGCTTTGCCACTTTGAGAAAAGTATTAATAAAGCATTCATTCTTTTACCATATTGATTGAATCGTACCATATACCAGGGACCAAACATGGCCTTGAAGATATATGACAAAGAAATTAGACACAGTCCCCATCTTAGAAACTTTACAGTTCATTTGAATTAATTAATTAACATCCAGTTTGCTTCCACAATAAAATCCCTACTCAGTTTTACGCCTACTCAATACGTTCAACTTTGTTTCTGTCCTAAGGTTAGTTGACCATACAGGTCAATATAATATTCTTTTCCAAAAGTATTATTTAAACTTTTTATTGTGAAATACAACATGTATACTCTAGAAGTGTCTAAAACATGTACACCTAAATTGTTATACTGTGAACACTCATATACTACTCAGATCAAGAAATAGACAGTTGCTGGTATGCTAGAAGCCCATAGCCTCTTCCCAATTACAAACACCTTTTCCCCTGCAAAAATAATCACTATCTTGATTTATATGGTAAATACTTTGTAACTTTTCCGTATAATTTTACTGCCAAAGTGTGTTCTTAAGATCGTAATTTAATTTAGCCTATTTTTGAACATTATATAAATTGAGTTAAACAGAAGATATCTTTTGTATTTGGCTTGTGATTTACCTATATTTTTGCCTGTAACAATAGTTCATCTATTTTCATTGCTGTATATATTCTATTTAATGAATATACCATAGTGTATCTATTGTACTATTTATGAACATTTGAGTTGTTCAATTTATATTATACATATTATTAACATTCTTATGTATTTTTACACATATGCACATATTTCTGTTGGGTGTATTCCTAGGACAGGAATTATTAGTTCATTGTGCATACTTATGTTCAACTTTAGTAAGTAATGCCAAGCTATTTTCCAAAACAGCAGTGTTAATTTTACATTCCTTCCAGCAGTGAATACAGTCCTGTGAGTACCACATCCTTATCAATATCAATGTTTACTATTCTCAGACTTTAATTTTATTTGTTCTGGTGGGTAAGTTAATTGTGGTTTTAATTTAGATTTACCTGATTATTCATGAGATTAACTTTTCATTTATTTATGAGAAGTACCCATTTACAGTTCTTGCCTACATTCCTATGGGTTTTTTGTAATTTTTTAATACTGATGTGTAAGACTTCTTTATATGCTCTGCCTATGACCCATTGATTAGTTATATGTTTTACAGTTATCTTTTACCACTCAGTGGTTTACTTTTTCACTGTCTTAGTGGTATCTTTTGATGACCAGAAGCTCATTTAATTTAAAGGTTATCAGTATTTTATGGTTGGTGATTTTGTGCCATGTTTATTTTTATTTTTATTTTTTAGAGACAGGGTCTTCCTTTGTCACCCAGGCTGGAGTGCAGTGGAGGGCTGTGCCATGTTTAAGAAATCTTTCCTACCTCAGGGTCACAAAGACATTCTTCTATTTAAAAGTGTTACTGTTTTGCCTTTCACATTTATGTCTATAGTCCATCTGGTTGATTATTATACTGTATATGGTGTGAAGTGGTATATTCAGCTTTATTTTGTTTTTCATAAGGATACCCAAATTACTAAGCATAATGTTTTGAAAGCTTCATTTTTTTCCCCAGCATTACTCTGTAGTGCTACCTTTGCTATAAGTCAAGTCCATATATGTTTGGGTTGTTTCTTGACTGTTTCACTGTGTATGTGTCTATTCTTGCACTAATGCCGTGTAAGTGATCTGCCCATCTTGGACTCCCAAAGTGCTGAGATTACAGACGTGAGCCACCACGCCCAGCTGAATCTCTATATTTGAATAAAAGTGACATCTTTGCAATATTGAATTTTCCAATCCATGACCATATTCTATTTTATTGTTTTATCTTTTGTATGCTGCTAGTTTTAAATTGCTGACATTTCTTTAGGATTTTAAAATCTTGTTTATAGTGCATGCACCTAGTCTAAATTTCTCTTTATTCTTAATCTTCTTGTTAAGTTTCGCGTCAAGGTTCTGCCGTCATAAAGAGTTAGAGGATGGTCTTTTTCTGTACCTTTGAAGAATTTGTGTAATTTTCTTTAAATGTTTGGTAGAATTGGCCGGTAAAACTATCCATACTGGGTTTTTTGTTTGTTTGTATCTTTGTTTAGTTGGTTTTGGTTTTCTGTGGGGAGTATGGGGAGGAAGAGAGACTTCAAAATATACATTTAATTTCTTTAATAATTATATTACTATTTTGGTTTCTATTTCTTGTCAGTTTGATAAGTTATAGTCTTCTAATAATTTACTTCATCTAAGTTTTCTAATTTATTGGCATAAATTTTTTCAAAATCTCTTATTTTTAATTCTGCAAGATCAGTAGTAATGCCCCTTTTTCATTTCTGATTTTGGTTATGTATGCCTTCTTTATTTTTAAAAATTACTTCTCAATGAGGTTTATCAATTTTGTTAGTCTTCCCAAAATCCAATTTTGGCTTTATTAATCTAGTGTATGCTTGTTTTTCTGTTTCATCAAATTTATGTTTACATCTTTATTATTTTCTCCTTTCTACTTTTGTTTGCAGTTGTTTTTGCCACTTTCTAGTTTCTTGAGATGGATGTTCAATTTACTGATTTTCAACCTTTTTCTTTTCTAACGTATATGTATATGTGTATGTGTGTGTGTGTGTGTGTGTATATATATATATATATGTGTATGTGTGTATACACACATACACATATATATATCCACATGCAGTTACAGCTATAAATTTCTATTACTTTAGCTGCTTGTATGTTTAAATATGCTTTATTTTTCTTTTCATTCAGGTCGAAGCATCTTTTTCCTTAGACAAAATTTCTCTCTTGTTGCTCAGGCTGGAGTGCAACGGGTTCAAGAGATTCTATTGCCTCAGCCTCCTGAGTAGCTGGGATTACAGGTGCCTGCCACCATGCCCAGATATTTTTTGTATTTTTAGTAAAGACAGGTTTCACCATGTTTGTCAGGCTGGTCTCGAAATCCTGACCTCAGATGATCCGTCTGCCTCTGCCTCCCAAATTGCTGGGATTACAGGCATGAGCCACTGCACCCAGCCAACATTTTTAATTTCCATCGTGATTTCTTCTTTGATTTGTGGGTTGCATAGAAATATATCTTTCTTCATTACTAAACATGAAATGTTTATAGATATATTTTATTAATGATTTTGAGTTTTATTGTCATCAGAATACATGGTCTGTATATCAGTGTCAATATTTTTGAAATTTGTCAAAACTTGCTTTAAGAATCAGTATATAATTAATTTTTATAAATGTTCCCCATGTGTATTTGTATGTTTTTTACATGTATATTCTCATCTTGTTGGGTATAATGTTCTATATAATTTATATATAGTTTATGTTAAAGTTATTGATCAAATCCTTTATACTAACTTATATCCTTTGTCCATTTGTTCTGTTAATTACTTAAAGGTGTTAAAGCCTTCCCTTGTGATTGTGGATTTGTTTAAATTTTTCTTTATAGTTTCTGTCCGTTTTTGCATTATATGTATCGTGGGTATGTTATTAGGTACATTTAACTTTAGAGTTATTATATATTCCTGGTACAGATATTATAAAGTGATTCTCTTTATTTTTAGTAATGTTTTGGCTTTAAAGTCTATTTTTTTCTGATACTGTTACAGCACGTTTGCTTTAGGGAGGAGTTGTTAAGGTTAAAGTGGTTTGTCTTTTTCATCTTTTTACATTGAACCATTCTTTATGTTTTTCATATATCACTTACGTTTTTTAAATTCAGTCAATAAATCTTTATCTTGTAACTGGAATATTTATTTCATTTTTATTCAGTGTAATTATTGATATATTTAGGTTTAAATCTTTCACCTTATGGTGTGGATTCTATTTCTTACACATATTTAAAAAATATCCATACTTACTTTCTTTTG